TTTCATAAATAATAACATTCTTCGAAAGAATTCAAATTATTTTTTATAAATAGTAAAAATTTTTGCAAAAATTCAATTATTTTTAAATAAAATTTTAATAAAATCCTTCGAAACAATTCAATTATTTTTTTAAATGTTTAACATTTTTTGAAAAAATTCAACTATTTTCAAAAATATTTCACGAAAGAATTCTATTTTTTTTAATTCGAAATAAAATATTTCAAAAGAATTTAATTATTTTCTTATTTCGATATAACATATTTCAAAAGAATTCAATTATATTTATAAATAGTAAAATTCTTTGAAAAAATTCAATTATATTCAAAACAATTTCACTATAGAATTTAATTTTTTTTTTTAATTTTTAATAATATTTTTTGAAAAAATTCAATTATTTTCTAAAATTTTAATAAAATCTTCGAAAAAATTCAATTATATTTGTAAATAGTAAAATTCTTTGCAAAAAGTCATTTATATTCAAAACAATTTCAAAAAAGAATTCAATTTTTTTCTTAATTCGTTATAAAAAATTTCAAAAGAATTTAATTATTTTCTAAAATTTTAATAAATTCTTCGAAATATTCAATTATTTTTGTAAATAGTAAAATTCTTTGTAAAATTCAATTATTTTCAAAAACTTGAAAGAAATTGTTCATAAAATTGAATTGTTTTACATTTTTTTTAAAAATTCAAAGAAATTCTTCAAAAAAAAACATTCAAAAATACATTAATTTTAAAATTGAAAATATTTGAAAAGAAAAATTGTAAAAAAGTTAAGAAACAAAAAAACAAACGAACGACTAACTTCAAACTGCGAACATAGATTACCGGAACATGTACTTTATTATTATTATTTTTCATTATTTTAATTTTAAATCAAATGAATAAATAATAAAGAAAATAGTAAATAAAACATAAAAAAACTAATAAGCAATAAAAAAATAAAAGAAATAAAGTGACTAAATAGTTTTGTAAATAAAAAATTGTATTTTACTTTTTATTTAAATGCAACATTTAATTGTTCAGAAGATTGAAAATTAAATTTTTTTACTCTTCCACCAAAAAGAATTTAAAAAATTTGTTTTCTTTTAAAATACGAAATGATGAAATTGGACTAACTTTTGTTCCGATTGTTTGTTTGATTCTTACTTAAAAATTTATTTATTTATTTATTTCACGAAAGAAATCAATTTTTTATTTTTTATTGATTGAAAATTAAATTTTTTACCCTTCCACCAAAAAGAATTGAAAAAATTTGTTCTTTTCTTTTAAAATACAAAATGATGATTTTCTTTCTCGAACGAAAGAAAAGAAGAACAAAAAAAAGAAAAAATTGCGTCTGAATATGGACGAAACGAAAAACCATATTAAAAAATAGCAAAACGCAAGTGTAAAGAGAGTAGAAAAAAAATTGAAGCAATCTAGGATTGAATTTCAAGCGTTATACAGAAAGGTTAGAAAAATCCGATTGAAGCAACGTAGAGGGCACTCGTCGGTCGTTTTATGTAGGAAGATTAAAGTTACGCTCTCGCGAGACCCGATGGTTATGGGTTAAATGAAGTGTGAGGTGCCCACGATCGTATCGCAATAAACGCAGAGCAGCAGGGTTGGTAATGTAGGCGTGGCTGCTTTTCGTATCAGCGATGGCCACCTTTCGACTGTAAATCAATTGATATCACGAGTAGAGAGAGAGAGAGAGAGAGGAAGAGTGAGTGAATAGGGAAGGGTGTTTTTCCATGGGGTTGCTCTGAGGGCATGCGCCAAAATGCATGAATACAGATCGACCCGCCCCAGAGCTTTTATCCCGGATAGTAGTAATGGTATCGTCCTCTTTCACCCTCTGTGTGCTTGCATTCCTTTTAACTCTCGCACACCCTCACCTCATCCATGAAATGGGGCGCGAAAAAACGTACATACGAATTGATTTTGCCAATTCTCCATTCTACTCGAATTCTACTCGAATATATATATAGCTATAGACAGCTGGAAAAATCGTGAACAATCTCATTTTACATGCACGTTCAATTTCCTTCTTCTTTTCAACGGGTGATCAATTTTATTTTTCATTTTTTCAAAAAATAGAGGAAAATTATCTTCTTGGCTTTTTTTCTGCTTAATCTAACTTTCAACTTTTTTTTATTATTCTCAGTGTATAATATTAGAAAAATATCTTTTAATTAATTTTAAATGTGACATCATTTGTGAAAACTCCCTTAACAATATTCATTTATAATTATATATATATATTAATAATTAATAATATGTGGCGCTTCACTATGGAAAAATTTATTGTTTTACATTGATTAATAAGCATATTTTATAATTTATAAAACCAAAAGTAATTTTTATTTAATATATTAGATGCAATGAAGATTTAAATGTTATTAGTTTGCTCTGAGAGTTAATTTTCTTTATGTATTGAATAATTTAATAATTCAATAAATTTCTTTCTAATTAAAGAAAATTTGATTCCATAAATACACTAAAAAAATTTATCCGATTCAAATAACTTGTCCATTATCAAATAAATATACACTTGAATCAAATAATTTTTATTCAAATCAATTAAATGGTATTTACTTCAAATAATTAAATTTAATTCAAGTACCTGAAGTACCTAATCAGTTAAAACGAAAACATTCGAACAATGATTGAAATATATTTACTCCAATATGTTTCGAAATCTAAATGATTTCCTCTTCAGACAGTCTATAAAAAAATATACAAAATTAAAAAATTATGAAGAACATAATTTTTTATATTTTATATCTTTGTATTTTCTTTTTTATTAAATTCTTTATCATTATAAATTATTTTATTAATATTACTTTTATAACAATTTATTAATTATATTTAAATAATAGGTAAAATAAATAACTATAGGTAATAATAGAAAAACCTACATAATCTCTATGTATCCGTTTATTGAATAAGGAAGTAAATGAATAAATAATAGTAATATTAATAATAATAAATTATTAAATGAAAAATAAGTTTTTTCTTTACTTTCAATAGAAGCAACATGTTTTACTTTTCAATTTTAGTAATTTGTATATAATTACACAGGTTTACAAATTTAGGTCAACTTTTGGACCCCAAAAGGCTATAACACTTTTTAACTTATTTTTCTTAACGCTAAATTCGAATCCGTTACTAGATTTTCACCTGCACATTACATTTTATAATGATGGATCTAAAATATCGGAAAAAATAAGAAATTTTATAGGATTTTCTGAAAACTTATTACTTAAAGTAAAAAAAAAAACAAAAAAATTTTTAAAAAAGTAAAAAATCACTCGGTTTTGGTTGAAACTTATTATTCGGGGGATATTGGGGTTATTTTGAAATATTAAAATCATATTCATAAACAGAAACTCTATAAAAATCACCAAGGAACAAGTTTCAAGCAAATCCGATCTATTTTTAACTCTTTTTTCAGACATATTGAATCCGCCATTTTGATTTTTAAAAATCTTACTTTATATTCGTAATGAGCGACCCCCGAAAAACCCACAGTAACAAGTTTCAAGCAAATCCGAAAAATTTTATCTCTTTCAGCCGCCATATTGGATCAGCCATTTTGAATTTTTAAAAATACATCGGATTCGTAATTAGCAACAACGAAAACACTTAATTTAGATCATGACGTTTATTCTAGGTAATATATTTTGATTTTCAGTAAAAATTGTTTAAAGAAATAAAAAAATAAAATTTGAATTCTCTCAATAATCTTACGTGTAGTAAAAAAACTGATTGTAAATTCGAATTTAGCGTTAAAATTTACCCTAGAAACAACTAGTTTTCTGTTGCTCGGGTCCAAAACCTTGTATTTCTGAATTGTAATTATTTTATTAATATTATTATTAAATAAAGATTATAAAAAATGTTATATTATTATTATTATTACTATTATTAATTTCGTATATTTTGAAATAAATATATTATTAATATTTTTATTATTATTCTTTTTTATTTTTATTAGTATTATTTTCTATTTTTCATATTATTCTTACATATTTCGTCTTATTAAAACAATAAAAAATACTAAATAACAAGTGATGTTTTTATTGGTAGGTGGTCAATTTTTCTAAAAAATATTTTCTAATCCTTTTTGTCTAAAAAAATAGATTTCTAATAAAATCTGATTTCTAAAAAAAGATTTTCTAAGAAGTTTGGATTTTTAAAAAAAGTTTTTCTAAAATGTTATGATTTCTAATATTTAATTTTCTGAAATTTGTGAAATTCTATATAATTTTGATAAAAGATAGAAAATTGTTAAAAAATTAAGATTTGAAAATATAAACTATTTTGCATATTTTCTGTTTCTCAATCACAATAAATTCTGTTCAAAAAATTATGCCTTTCTTTTTGAAAAAGAATAAAAAATATTACAAAATTTCTATTTCTAATCACAATTTTTGAACAAAATTTTATTCTTTTTTGAAAATAAGAAATAATAGTTTGCATAATTTTTATACCAAAAATTTCAAAATTAATAATATTTATAAACCATTTTTTTTAGAAAATTGTTTTATATCTTTAAGGAAAAAAATTCTTATAATTTTTTATTCGTTAATTACGATTATTAAAAAGGTTATTTAAAAATTTTGTTAAAAAATTTGGATAATTTCTATTTTTTATTACAGTTTTTTAATGAAATCTCCAAATAATTTTACTAAAGAATTAAAATATTTTCATAAATTTTATTTTTTAATAATATAACATTTTTTTTTTTGAAAATTTTATTAGAAAAAGGAATTTTTAGAAAATTACCTTTATAAAAAAAAAGAAAATTATAAAATCACTTTCATTAGAAAAAAGTATTTTAGAAATTCACCTTTATTAGAAAAAAAAGTTTTAAAAAATTAAAAATTAGAAAATACGTTTAAGAAAAATTGTACCCGAATCGTTTTTATTTATAGAAAAAAATAAAAAAAAAAAAAGGTGGTAAAACTATAAAAGAGTGAGAAAGGTGGCAGAAATAAAAGAATATTCGAGAGTTTGCTTGATAATAAGTGTATTTAATCGATTTTTAAATAATTTTACACGTACAGGATCACTGTGTTTTGTTTTCTTATCTTCACCAAGCATATATGCGGGTTTTTGTTTGTTTATTTTTTTTGTCATATGTACGTTATCTCTTTTGCTCTTAATACATAAGTAAATAAATAACTAAGTTACTTTAAACAGTCTATAAACGATGATACAAGCTACAAGTCGAATGTTATGTACACGTCGGGTTTTTTTTTCATCATTTTTTTTTATTCTCATTTATTTATTTATTAAAGATCACCTCTACTATAACAGCTTCACTATTATAACTTCTCTCTATTTATATGTATAAGAATCTATTGCACGTTGCAATTATTTTTTTTTTCTTGTCGCGATTCGGGAGTAAGTGGAGTGAAGGGTAAAAGGGGAACGGGGAATATTTTACATTTTTACATATATTATAAATTATATAGCGGAAATTGTTTCAACATTTTTTTTCTTTTTTTTTTCTTGATGCCAGAACTCTCGACAAATTTGAGAGAAAAAGGAAAATTTTTATTTCGTTTTTTGTACAGAAGAATAAAATGGAGAAATTAATTTTATAGAATTGTGGTCACCGTCGGCAACAAAATGGCACAATATAAGCATAATATTCGTCGTATTTATAATTTTTGTTTAAATTTGTGTTATAATTTTTTTTTTTTACTGTTTTTCCATTTTTTCGTCCGCCGCTTATTGAATATATAATTTTGAATTTTGGACACACGAGAAAAATTTACAATTTTACAATATATATATTTTTTTATAGCGATTACATAATATATGAAAATTCCGAATTTTTTATATTCAATCGTTTATTCAAGGTTTCATTGTTAATGAAATTAACTTGAAGAAAAAAAATGGTTTTAGAATTAATATTCTTTATTATTTATTTAATAACTTTTATTATTATTTTAATTTCACCCAGATAGAAGTTATATTTCACTTAGAGCCTACGAAATTATTTTTTTGTGCTAAATAAATTTTTCATTTGAAACAAATAATTTAGTAGGTTCTGTAACAAACTTCTATTTGACTCAAATTATATTTGTTTTAATTATAAAACATTTCTCTGGGTTTTGTTTATTTTTAAATTCAGATTAATTAAAAATGGTCGAAATTTTATACATTCTCGAAAAGAATTTTGCGAATAGTTTTTCTTTCCTTCTTTGTTTTATTTATTTACTATTTTTTTTTTTGATAAATAAAAGTCGAAAGTTGACTTTTTTTATAAGTGAAATTTAATGGAAGACTTTTTTTCAAACACCATCTCCCTTTTGATAGAATAAAGCAGAATATTTTTTTACACACAATTTTTTGCGACGTGACGAAATATTTCAGGCTGAAAAAATGTAATCCAAACTTTGGCAGTTTTAGTTCCGTTTTCTTTTTTTTTTATCTCCGATTATTCGTTCGTTATCAGTCTTTAATTCCGAGGCTTACAGACAATTATTCCTCTCCGTCGAAATAAATTAACGTTGGCCCAATTGACAATTTATTTATTTTTTTTTTTTGAGAATAATTTTGGGACTTATCATTTTGCTTGAAGTTCTGCAGCCTGTTCTTCTTCTTCTTTGGTCAACGGGACTGTTGAATGATTATAGAGACCCTGGGCCATTAATTGTAGTGCGAGAGGATTTTTTTGTCCCGAGGCCTTTTTTATTTTTGCCCTCTTATTTTGAAACCAAATTTTTATTTGGGCCTCATTCAAACCCAAATCGCGGGACAATTGTTGTCTTCTGCGTTCAGTTAAATATCGATTCTCGGCAAATTCTCTCTTTAACCTTGTCAACTGTTCACCGCTAAAATTCGTTCTCGGTCTCTTCTCTTCGGGTGTTGCTGGCGCAACCTTCCCCTCATTTGGCCGTTTAACCCTTCTCGTCCGTGGACCTGAAATCACAGACAAAAGTTGTCTCATTAGAATTTATTTCAAAAAAAAAATTTATTTCTTAAAAAATTAATCACTTTTTGATTGTAGTGAAAAATAAATAATTTAATTAATTATTTATCGAAAATGTATAAAAATATAAACAAATAGTAATTTAAAAAATTAAAATACAAAAAAGTGTCTGTGAAATGTCTCATAATTAATAACTTTAGAAAAAAAAATAATTAATAATAATTTATTTAATATAAACATTACCAACTTTTATTATTATTTCTTTTAAATAAATAAAGAAAATAAAAATCTATTAATAATTTGATAATTAAATAAAGTAATAAATAAATTAAATTAATAAATAAAGCAATTGGAATATTTTCTTCGACAATATAAATCATGATGAATTAAATTCCAATTTTCCCGAAACAATTTTCAATCATAAAAATATAAATTGCATTTAATTTCTATTTCAAAATACAAAAAAGAAAATTCATAAACATGGACTAACTTTTGATTTGACTGTCTGTCCAATTTTTTTTTCTCAAAATTAAAATTATTTCTATTCAAGATTTTAATCGAAAGCAATAAATTATTTCTGACATGTAGATAAATCAAAAGAAAAATAAAACATAAAATCACCAAATGGAATGCAATAAACGATTAATATTTCGTTTATTTCGAAAAAAATAATTTTCTTTTTTTTGTGTGTGTGTCAGAAAATTTTCAGCCATATTTTCTGCCACATCATTATATATACTGTTTTCTAACATAAAAATTTTATTTTACTAGTACTTTACCACACCATTTGCGTTTGGGCTTTAATATATTTAAACTATCGATCAATAAATCGTGTCTTGTTCGACAATCATTCATTTATTCTTGTTATTTGCTTCAAGATATCATATTTTGCTACATGTACAGTGTGAAAGATAAAGAAGTTAATTTGAATATATGGATTATTCGTCACTTTTATGACTTTTACCTTATATATTGAATAAGTGGATTTTAAAATGCGCGAGGTAAACCTCAAGCAATCATGATTAATTTTATTTCACAAAATCTCCTTATAGTGTAATTTAATTTCTTTTTTATGTTTCGTAAGAAGATCTTTTTTACGTCATTTTAAAATTGGAAATTTTTATGTTTAAAATTAAACATAGTTTCACTATTAAATTCCAAAATCGTCGATCAGGAAATAATAAAAATATATTAATAAAAAATTTTTTTCACTGGGAAAATTTTAATTGCATCGAAAAATAAAATGTTATTTTCAATGCGTTATTTAATACTTTTTAGTGAAGGTAACGAAATAAATCGTATTTCGATTATTTGTGGAAAATTTTTTTAATTTTTTTTTTTTTTTTTTTTGAGGAAAAAAAGGAAAAGTAACTTGACATCAAAGTCAATCAGTTATTTGAACTTGAAGTCGTAAGCTGGGATAATAAAAAAGAGAAAATTACGACTTCGTGTCTACACTTCAAGTAAGCAACAAACGCAAACTGACAATAATGACGATCATCCTTTAACTCTCAAGCAAAAAGCCTTCGGAACGTTCAAGAAATTATGCATAGTCAACAAAATGTTTATAGTGACTCTATGTGAAATATGTTGATTAATTTAAGTACTCATTTCCTGTGTTTAATTTTCTTGTTTAATTTCTTATTTTTCTGAAAATTCACATCAAACTACAGATTTATTTTTGTACATTTTTATTTAATTCTTTTCAACATTTATTTTTTATTCTGCATTAATTTATTTGTTTAAATTTAAAGTATCTAATTTTATTTTAATTTTATTTTACTTATTTTATCTAAAAGTGATTTGCACATTTAAAGTGAAAGAATATTTTGCTTTTTTTACTACATATGAAGTAATTATAATAAATTCTAATTACTTCGTATAAATATTAATTATTATAAATTTTAAATACATTATATAAAGTAATTAGTAATACTAACAATCATTTTATAATTAATAATTTATTTAGGATTAAAATAATCAAATTATCTATTAGAGGAATTATTTATAAATTAGTAAATTGTCAAATTAAAAAATTAATTAACTAATAACAATAACGATTTGTCATTTTATTTGCCATAAAATCCATGAAAGGCCTGATTACTATTTTCAAAAACTTTGCTTAAAATTGTTGTTTAAAATTTAGTTAAAATATATAATAAAAAATATTTTAAAAAACATAATAAAAAGAGAGGGGTGAGAATTATTTCTTCGATTCTAACCGGTTGAGTATAAATTGTTGATCGATCTTTTTCTGTTTTATCGGCAGATTTCACTTGCAAGTGATCACGTGGTAGAAGATGGGTTTGCAAACGCAGACACCACTTATAAGCGGGCAGCACGTTCCGATCTTGCTTTATCGTAAATCAAACACATTATTATTGCCTCCGCGGTGCGTTATACTGAATATCTGCTCCCTTCTCTCTATATAAGGTCCCTCTAAACGTTCACGTTTACACAGTAAATGCCCGAATGGTTCAAGCGTGAATATACATTACACCTCAAGTCCAGAGGCAAATTTCAATCTTCCATATAATATTGTATAAATCTAGCCAAATCTAACTTCTTATCTCAATCGCCAAAGACAAACTGTATTTAAAATTTTTCTTGTTTATTAAATTTTATTGCTTACTTATACCTATATACCGACACTCGATTCCTGTATATGCAGAATCTTGTATTAGTCAGAAAAATCTTGTACTCACTTTAAAAAATTGTGAATTTACTTTTTTTGATTTTTGTTAATTAAAAATTGTAATTAAATCCAATTTGATTTTACACAATTTTCAGTTTTTTGGGTAATTCTAAGTTTTTTCTTTTTTACTCTAGGTCTTCTTTTTGGTTCTTTTTTACAAAAATTAATAATTTTTTCCTCTAAAAAAACTTATTAGTGGAAAATTCCACCTCGATTCCATCGAATTTCCGATGGGATTTTGAAATTTGTTCTAATCCGAAATTTTCCGTTTATATTCCATTCGATTTCCGATGAAATTTTTAAACTGCGTTCTGATCGCAGTTGTATTTCCGTCGGGATTTTCATTCTAATCAAAATTTTATAGAAATTAAAACGGAAATTAATTTTAGAATTCCGATGCCTTTAAGAAAGTTTATATATCGGAATCTTGAAGAATATTTTCTGTTTGAATTTTATCAACTTTCGATAGAATTAAAAATTATGTTCCAATTTTACTTGTAGTCCCGTTAGGATTGCAATTCAATAGGAATGTTATGGAAAATTTATCGGTAATTTAATTAAATTGTTGTAGAATTCCAAATGGAAATTATTATCTTTCTATGAAAATCCACCACATTATCTGAATTCCAATTTTCTTTAGGGATTGAATCGTAACTCAGTAGAATAATTTCTATAGAAAACAAATTTGTTTGAATTTTATAAAATTTCAGATAGAATGCTCAATTGCAAATAATAGAATTTCAATACAATTTCGAAGGCAATTTTTATCGATATTTGGAAGAAAATCTCCATATGACACTTTCCAGAAAATTTTCCAAAGGAGGAACTGTAAAAATTTGGTGAGTTCTCTTTTTCTAAATTAATAAATTTTCTGCTTTTTTAAAAACCCAGGCTGTTAAAAAATTCAGCGCTCCTACAAATCAGGGAATTCAGGAAAAAGTCAGGGATAGTAGAATTGGCCAGGAAAATCAGAGAGAAGTCAGGGATTTTTAAAAAAGTACTGAAAAAAATTAAATTTGCAGGATTCATAATTAGTTTTATTTAGTTTCTTAATATATATTGAATTATTTATTAAAAATCATGGATTTATAGAAGAATTTTAGTTAAAAGCATTAAAAAAATTGAATTTTAGAGAAGTTACAAATGTTTGCAGAAATTCAATTATTATTATTATTATTCAATTATTTAATTATTATTATTATTATTATTATGTTCAAAAATTTTTTAAAATTCTCGTCAAAATTACAATTCTCTTCAAAAATAATAAAATTCTTCTCCGAAATTCAATGATTTTCATAAATAATAAAAATTTCCCAGGAATTCAACTATTGACAAATTTTTATAAATTTCTTCGCAATAATTCAATTATTTTCATGAATAATAAAACTCGTCATAGAATTTCAGTGATTTTTAATACCATTTATTTTAACCGTATTCTTGAAAAATGTAATTATTCTTCAAAATTCGTCGAAAATTCCTATTATTTAAAATTTTTTTTAATAACATTCTTTATGAAAATTCAATTTTAAGAAACATTCATTTATTTAATAATTCTTTCATTTTTGTATTTAAATAATTGATTTCTCGTAGAATTTTCTAATAAAAATTGTTTTAAAAATAAATTTCAGTTGAAATTTTAGATAATAATTGAATATTAAAAGCATTATAGCATGACTTTTTAGAAATAATTATATTTTGAAAAAGTGTAATTGAATTTTTTTTGAAATTATTTCAAAATTTCGTAAATAATTGAATTGTAAACAAATGGATTTCAAAATTTTCTAGGACTTCTGCAAAAATTATTAAAAATAATTGATAATTGTTCATTTATTTGTTTCGAAGAATTTTAATAAAATTTTGCAAATTAATTACATTTTTCAAAAAATTTACTCAAAATTGTATTAAAAATAATTCAAATCCTTTAAAGAATTTTATTATTTAGGAAAATAATTGAAGTCTTGTAACGAATTTTCATTATATTTTATTTTAATATTTAAAATCCTGTGAAGAATATTAATATTTATGAAAATAATTGAATTCTTGCAACGAATTTTCTTACATTTCTTTTAAATAATTAAAATCCTGTGAAGAATTTTATTATTTACTAAAATAATTGAATTCTTGCAGCGAATTTTATTATATTTTCTTAATAATGCAAATCCTGTGAAGAATATTAATATTTATGAATTTCAAAAAATTTTAATTCCTATGGAAAAATAATAATGATTAAATATTTATTTAAAAGTGAAGTACTTGATGTTTTTGAATAATTTTACAATTAAAGAAATGCGTAAA